TTCCGTCACATTAAAGCATCAACGGTGTGACTCACTGGTATAAGTGCTCTAATGGCTGAACCCCGTCCCTCATTTCTCACTGGAGCTCAACACATCACCACTCACCCATTTCAAAGCTGCCATCGATGATGCCAACAGTAGAGCTTGGGATCTCAAACCGCCTCTCAATCTGAGTGATGGTACTTTTGGTGTAAGCCCCCGTCAGGGATTTTGTGAAATAACAGAAGGCAAGTAAACCAATAAAGATCTTTGCAGACACAAGGGCAGAAGAGAGATTAAGTGAGTATTTTATAGTCTTGTTGTTGTTGTTACATCAGAATTTATCATAGTATTTGTCAGAAATATTTAGCTATAGCCATTATTTTTCACCATTAAAACAAATGATCAGCTTATAGTGGTTTAATTAAACTTAGATTGTGGCATATTGTCAAAAACAATGTCTCTTGCCTTTAGAGTTGGAGAACAGCATTTAGTTTGAGGTGTTTTCTGATTGCGACCTGAGTACTCAATTGTTCTGGGCTCAATGGACCTGTCTGGACTGCCCTCCACTGTCATGATGAACTATGAGCCATGAAAGAGGTGCAAAATCATGAAATCATGAACAATTTTGTTACTGTTAAACTGCCTTGGTGTCTAATGTAATGTGTCTAATTTTTGATCTCTCTCTCTCTCTATATATATATATATATATCATCCTGACTACCAGCTATGGAGTTTTGTCCACTGTAGAGGACATTATGTTTTAACGATTTCTCTGAGACGTTACATGTCACAGTTTTAAGTCTGGATGTCCTGTACAGAGCACATTCAGGGCTTTCCAGAGATACCAAATGATTGGATGTTTCACCATGACCACTCCCTCTCCTTGGTCTTTAAATATGGCTGACATTCATTTAGCAGGACGTCGATTTCATTCATGTCCACTGTAGAATACACCAGGACTTAAAGCATGTTTATTACACATTTTGGGAGACACAACAAACGAATAGAGAAAAAATTATATATCAATATTCCTATTAAATATTAGATATTATTATGAAAATCTTGCTAATTATTACTCCCATTATTGCACTTATTTGTTCATTCTATGTTGCCCCAAAAACAAATTAATATGCAAATTAGATACAGTTTATAGATACATTGCATATAATGGAAAATTTGTTTATGGCCATTTTACACACATTTTGCATAAAGAAAAAAGTTTTTTAAAAATATCTTTCATAACATAGTTGAGAATCATCTTTATATAAAGTTTGGTATAAAAAATGGAAATTGATTTCTGGTTAAAACAAAAATCCCACTCTTTTTGCCTTTTCAATTTTATTTTCCAAAATTTTTCTTATGCTCTAAACAATGTAATGACATGACAAAATACTAAATTCACAATACTGTTTTTTCCTGGTAGTCAGGAGGATATATATTCCAATATGCCAATGTATTCACTTCAGAGGTGGTCCAAAAGAAAAATACATTGTAATCAAATGCAAACAAACATTAAAATATAATATTTGAATGATATTAAAACACTCACATATCCAGTGGTTCCTTCACATAGAGAGGAGGCACTAAAATGTAGAAATATTTCCAAATGAGCAATCTCTAAATGCGACTTTATATGTACATTTACATTTTGTCATTAACTAGCACTGAGTAAACCTTTAACCCAATTGTAGATCAACCTGTACAGTACAGTTTGTAATGTGCCCAATTGTGTCAAGTGTTTATATGGCGAAATGTATAAAACTCAAGAAATTTTTAAACAGAGACAATTAAAATAAGATGAGACATTAACAGCATTTAACAAACACCAACCAACAAGAACACAGAGTGACACCAACCAACACATATCTACTTATTTATGGTGCAATGTGTATGCTGGCAGTCTCTCTGTTTTTAGTGATGTGTGTGCATTCACGTGTGCATTATTTGCCTTAAAAAAGTAAACTTAGGGTAAACTTGCAGTTAATATGTGGTAAATGTTGGCAAAGAAATCTTTCTTTGCCACTTTCTTACAAATAACTGCTACAGGTTTACAACGCTTCACTGGTCAACCAGCAGCAAACCTTTAGCAATAATGGACAGTTTGCTGAAACTGACAGACCTGACCATTTTTGATCTCTACAGGCAACCCTTTTTACACAACTTATTATGTAAGCATGCTTTATTAATTTGTGACTTCACTGCAGTTAAACTGTGGCCATTTTTTAAAATAAATTATTTCCCCTGTTCAGATACATTTACTACATAAAGGTGTTTCATTTTATGTCATAAAAGTCTTCAATGGGAAGTAGACTGTAAAGAAGATCGCTGGTTCACAAGACCAGTTCACAACAAAAGCCATATCTAAATCCATAAAGTTTTAAAAATATAAAAGGACAACAGAGGAACATTATTGTTGGAAACACTTTCAGAGTGATGTTTACACACATATATATATATATATATATATTTAAATGCCAAAAACACAAAAATAATTACTAAAATTTGACTAAAATGTAAAAGTGAAAGCAAAAAAATGTTATTCAAAACACAAACTATAATAGTAACTGAATAATACTATAATAGCACAACTAAAGAATTCTCTTTGAATTAGCAATGTTATCGTCAGTTAAATGCTAATATGTTTATCATCATAGTTAATTTGAACAGGCCACAACAAAAACAATAAATAGCAGTGGGTGAAACAAAGAGAGATCACAGAGTTCCATCCAAATCCATTCATAACTATGTTCTCAAACATTAAACTGAAGCAAACTACAACACACATCTCATACTTATTCAGAGAAATAAGTATTCTCAGTGACAGCAATGTGTAGTGCAACATCTTGCGCAAACTCAGCTGTTAATGGACAAATGAATGCATGCATGACAGTTCAATCTTCTTCCATCATGTTTGGACTTAAAGCGTTCGAAATATTGCCAAAGGTATTCTGGTTGTGGTTTGGTAAGTGAATGATGCATTGTTAAAACTTTAATGACACTTTTCTAAATGTGTGCTTGGCCGTCCATTCTGAGTCTCCGTCCTGTTTCAGGGAAGGCAGCAACAGACACAACCAGTCGGAGCCTGCGGCCCACTACAGGTGAGACAGCAACCGATACCTCAGTTCTGAGTCTGAGTCCTGTCAAGGAAAGGACTGTAACAGATCAACCTCTGTCCAGAGAGACACTAACAGAAACACCAAAGTTCTGAGTCCTTCCTGAGTCCTGTCAGGGAAAGGACACTAACAGAGCAGGTTCTGAGTCTGAGTCCTGCGAAGGCAGGGACACTAACAGATCAACAAGTTCTGAGTCTGAGTCCCGAAAGGGAATGGACAGTAACAGATCAACAAGTTCTGAGTCTCCAGCACGTCCAGAGAGACACTAACAGAAACACCTCGGTTCTGAGTCTCTGGCCTGTGAAGGTGAGACTGTAACAGACACAAACTTTCTGAGTCTGAGCCCCGCAAGTGTGAGACAATAGCAGATCAAACTCCTTTCTGAGTCTTCCATCCTGAGGGACAGAAACATCAACGTTCTGAGCCACTGGCCCATGCAGGAAGAGGCAATAACAGATACCAAGTCCTGAGTCTCCAGATTGTGAGGCAGCAACAGATACGACCATGTTCTGAGCCTCAAGGAGAGGACCAAGTTCTGAGTCTCTAGCCCAGAGAGGCAGAAGACACACAGACCTTTGCAACAAGGTTACGCTCCGGCGAGCAAACCTTCACTTCAAGGTACTTTTGCTTGCGTGTTCCAGGCAAGAACCTTCTGCACCTACTCCAGGGCAACATCTGTGTGTTCCAGATTTTAGGACCCTTTGGTGCTCCAGGAGATCAGCATCCTACAGTGCTTTGTGTTCCAAGGCTGTTGAAACGGATTCCTGCTCCTTTCCCCACTGCATCGTTACCAGCACAACCAGTGGATGAAGTCACCGCTACCGGACTGCTCACTCAACCACAGAGAACGTAACTATCACTTATACAAACCTCTTCCAGAGACCTTGGCATTGTTGTATGTTATCAGTATATGACTTTTCTAATTTACAATAGATTAATGTTTCTCAACCCTGGTCCTGGGCGCCCCCCAGCACTGCACATTTTGTGTGTCTCCCTAATCAAACACACCTGATTCAACTCTTTAGCTCATTAAAAGAAACTCCAGGACCTGAAATGGGTGTCAGATAAGGGAGACATACAAAATGTGCAGTGTTGGGGGGCGCTCAGGACCAGGGTTGAGAAACACTGCATTAGATGTTATATAGCTGATTGCAGTTGATAACTAATAATCTTTCACATATTTGTTTGATGCATAATAAGGTTCTTCAGCTTATTTGTTTCAGAGTAGAAACAATTTTTCTTTCCAGATAATGTAAGGCGCTCTGATTGTTTTTGTTGTAGAATACGATAGGGGATATATTCACACGTTATAGAAACGAAAATGATGGTGTATAAAATTGATTTTAAGATAAAAAAATTAGACGACAAAGAATTAACTTGACGGTAGCACCGACATATCAACACCCAACATAATCACTTGCATTTTATGCAACTTATGCACTTTATTCCTTTTTCGTTTATGGTATTCCTTTAGCAGCTGTTGATTACTCTTGTCTATCTTTTGTTAATACAATCTATTTTATTACACTTGTGTCTTCCTTGTGTTGATGATACAGAAAGAGGTTCTACAAGTTTGAGATCCCACCAATCTTTCTTATGTGATGTACTCATAATCACACCTTAAGTAACACGTGATCCAAAAATCATAACGTTATTGGTGACGTGAGTAACCATCACTACACTATTTCACCTCCCTAGGTTGGTGAAAGCAAATTCACTACAAAAAGAACTGAGATTTATTTTTTTCTAATACATTTATTAAGAGGTACAAACTCTGGATCATGAAACACAAAGTACAGTAGAGCATAAAGAGTGTTATGGCTTGCGCTGGTTTCCTTATGGTCTGCTGTCCTGGGCTGCATTTCCCAAAAGCATCGTAAGCTTAAGTACATCGTTGACCCATTGAAACCAATGGAGCTACAATCAACTTAGGCTTAAGATGCTTTTGGGAAACACAGCCCTGGTCATTGATTTTATTAGCAGTTCTTCTGCCATTAATTTACAGTGTCAGCACTGTCTCCTAAATTCCCTGAAAGAGCTACAAAAGATGATAGCTCATCGCTAGCATTCAGTATTGGTGCTTTCTGTTTTTTCTCTGGGACCGGTATCAGTTTTGGATCCGTCAGGATGGCACATCTCTGGAGACTGAAGTTCGGTTTCATTTTGCTTGCTGGCTGTTTGCTGCAATGCTTTGACTTCTTCTTTTCTAAACTGCTTCCGCAGAAGTACAATGACAGCAATGATGAAGAAGTAGGAACATCCACTTAAACATGTAGTCAGGCTCAAGAAGATCACTCTGAAAACAGAACATTAAGACTTTCATGCTGCACATACAATCCTATTTGTTTTTCAAATGTGAGCTTAGGACTCTGACAATATATCTACATGGGTACTTAAAAACTTTATACTGTAATTATCAGTGGCTTTTTCCTCCATTTTTGTATTCTAATAAAGACAATGGTATATAATTACAAGCACACATACACACCTGTACATATTTGAGTCGTACATACGACAGGCTCCTCTGCCCCCGCAGCTCTTTATTCCCCATTTTAAATACGTTGAGTCAATGAGAGCTCCAAAATATACAGGAGCAGGAATACCACCTCCAGAAAAATATTAGACATTAATGCAGTTTATCCAAAACATAATATAAACTAAAATATTGCCTAGCTTATGACTTATTGTTTACTGTATTACTTGTACCTAGTGTTCGCATCACAAAGCCAGTGACTTTAGCTCAGGTGTGATGCATCTAAAAACATATGTAATATACAGTAAATATCTTTCATCTTTTAGATCTGAAAATGCATCTGAAAGTAATTTTGTAAAGTAGAAAGCAGTTTAAAAGTAAAAGGGTTAGTTCACACAAAAATTAAAATTCTGTCATTAATTACTCACCCTCATGTCGTTCCAAACCCGTAAGACCTTCGTTCATCTTCAGAACACAAATTAAGATATTTTTGATTAAATCTGAGAGCTCTCTGACCCTGCATAGACTGCAAGGATACTACCACGATCAAGGCACAGAAACGCAGCAAGGACATCGGTAAAGTAGTCCATGTGACATCAGGGGTTCAAACATAATTTAATTTTAGCGAGAATACTTTTTGTGCGCAAAGAAAACAATAATAACATAATTTATACAACAATTCTTGTCCCCAAGTTACCGTCTTCCGCCATTTTGGAGAAAAGGCCTACCCCAGAAAGTAATCAGCGTTGTTTACGTTCAGTAGAAAGCGTGCGCATGCTCAACGTAAACAACGTTGATTACATTGATTACGCTCTGGAGTACTCTCCAAAATGGCGGAAGACGGTAACTCGGGGAGAAGGATTGTTGAATAAATTACGTTATTATTGTTTTCTTTGCGCACAAAAAGTATTCTTGCTGCTTTGTAAAATTACGTTTGAACCACTGATGTCACATGGACTACTTTACCGATGTCCTTGCTATGTTTCTGTGCCTTGATCGTGGTAATATCCTTGCTGTCTATGGTAGGGTCAGAGAGCTCTCAGATTCCATCAAAAATATCTTAATTTGTGTTCCGAAGATGAACAAAGGTCATACGGGTTTGGAACGACTTGAGGGCTAATTAATGACAGAATTTGCATTTTTGGGTGAACTAACCCTTTAAATGTAATAACTGTCAAATTAAATATTTAAATATTTAATTTGATAAAATTTAATATTACACTTTGTTTTGATGGTACATGTATTTGCAAAGTTACTTATAGTCAATAAAATGTCTGTTGGGGAACCATCAAATACAGTATTATCAAATTTAATAATATAAATACGAAAATGTGAGAGTACTTGCCTGGGCAAAACTCACTGCCACAATTCTTGCTTAACAAAAGACTAGTAACTATTCTATCCTGATGGTAACTGACCGTATAATGATCATGTATCCAGGAGTAGTGCTCAGAGAGTTGATGAAGGAGCTGAGGACAGACACCGCCATGTAAGAGGTGAAACTCCGGGTACATCCTGGCCCATGAGGACACTGTCCCAGAGACACAGATCTGCTGCCCTCTGCTGGTGAGGGGGTTAACACACAGCTGCAGTTGTGAAAAACCTGCCACCATCAAATGCAAACAAAATTATTATTGCAAATTATAGTATGTGACATATACTTACAGTAACACTTTAGTATAGGGACCAATTCTCACTATTAACTAGTTACTTATTAGCATGTCTATTATTAACATATTGGCTGTTTATTAATACTTATAAAGCACATATTTTGCATGAGCATATTCTACATCCCTAATCCCTAAATTTAACAATTACCTTACTAACTATTAAAATAAACAGCAAATTAGGAGTTTATTGAAGCAAAAGTCGTAGTTAATGGTTGTTAATGGCGAGTATTGGACCTTAAAATGAAGTGTGATCATACTTACGATACACCTTGTGTGCCTAAGGTTTGGAAAAGTGCAGTTTTAGCTAGATCAAATTATACTGTGTTTTTGCCTTGTCCAGTGGAGGTGGTGCATCCTGCCAAACAGGGTGACACGTATGTAATGCCACTGTCAGAGCACACAGGATCCCATTCAGATGTAGAGCAGGAACAGTTCTGGTTACACTGAGACATGAGTGAGCGCTCATCCTGTGATGTTCCAGGGGTCCTGAGGAGGAATTCAGAGATTGGGGATTGTTTCCAGTTGGAGACACAATATTCTGGCTAAGAGCCAGTGTTCATTTATAGCAGTGGTTCTCAATTGTTTTGTTTTTTTGTTTTGTCAAATCCCCCTTTGAAACTAGATTTTTTTTAATTTTATCCAAAAGTAATTTATTAAATAGCAACACTGATTTTCATGGTCATTATAAAATATACTATAAATATATTTACATTTATTCATTTAACAGACACTTTTATCCAAAGCGACTAACAAAGTGAGAACAATTGAAGCAATCAAAGCTAACAAAAGAGCACTAACATGTAATTATTGTGAAAAGTCTTGGTTAGTCTAATTCAGTACACGTAGCAAGGTTTTTTAAATAATAAATAAAAAGAAAATAAGTAGATAGAATAGAAAACGAATAGAGAACGCTTGTCACAATTCACTCGGAGCACGGAACGAGGAGACACGGAGATAGCTTCAAACCACAGTCTTTTAATAATCCAAACACCAGGGGTACGTAGGAGACACAGGAACACATGGAATGACATTCAGAACCGACAAACACTGACTGAAAGGACTAGGGCTTTTAAACACAGGATAATTGGGGGAAGAACTAGACACTCCTGGAATCAAATTAACACAATCAACGGGAGACAGAAACTGGGTCACATGGAGCAAAAACACACACAGACAGGTCCATAACCCTGACATAACACCCCTCCCGGAAGGTGCGTCCTCGCACCGTAGAAACAACATGGGGAGGGGAATGGGTGTGAACTTGGGAGGAGGTTCCGGAGGAGGACGGATATCCGGGAGGAACAGTTTGGTATGGTCCTCGAGAGCTTTGTCTCCCTGCTCCAGCAGGAGGAGGAGGAATTCGGGGCGAGTGAAGGGATCCATGGGGACACAACGGAAAGAAAAACACTGGGAGAAAAACGGAAACAAAACGGAGGGTACAAACGGAGGTAACTCTTTAGGTCGGTTCTTCTGTCACAATTCACTCGGAGCACAGAACGAGGAGACACGGAGATAGCTCAAACCACAGTCTTTTAATAATCCAAACACCAGGGGTACGTAGGAGACACAGGAACACATCCATGACAACGCTAGTGTTAGAGGGTCATTTTTATAAAAAAAATCTACTAAAAAAAAGTAGATTCAAAAGAAAACAAGTATTTCATATCATATAAAATTATACACTACAATGTCCATTTTTTATTCATGTAACCCATAAGGATATGCTTGAGAGGATGGTAATTGTAACACAACTTTAAAAACCACATAAATTATCATAAAAGTGAGGCATACAACTTGTGTGCTGTACAACAAATACTCTTGAGCCAAATTATAGTTTTGTGTGTAGAACAGAGAGAAAAAACAACAAATCTTCTGCATCAATGATACAGGCAAGACTGTCTGTGGAATGCAGAGAAAAAGAAAGAAAGAAAGAAAGAAGGAAGGAAAGAAACTTGAGAGATTTAAAAGTGAGGAAATGAACGAGATTTCTCTTTACAATATATCCTACATTTTCAGAACTGCTGACTTGCAGAAGTATACAAATACTTTACCCATTGTAGGACACAGTGAGCCCTGCCACAGGCACATTGTCACACTTTGTGCCGAAATGGAGGAGGAGGAGGAGGAGAAGGAAGGCCGTGAAGGAGGTGATGAAGGAGAGCTGAGCCCCTGCCACGACACTTAACTTGTATCTTTTCATTAACAAACCACCCAAGAATATTCCCACAGCAACCACAGGCAGGATCAGGACACCTGCGGGACATGACATGTCTTTAGTTTCAATTAATGTCAAACCTGACGCGCTTCTCGGAGTGTGTTACACTGTATGGTTGGGTTGTTCTTGGGTTCGGTGTGACAGATGAATTTGCACCAAATATGGTTGCATTTTAAGTAGGTTTATGGCCTGTCACATCAAAAACAAAAATATGGTCGATAAGTCGATAAGACCTTTTTCACAAGGGATTAACTGGAATAACATTGAAAAAAAAAAAAAAAAGTTTTGTAAGTATATAAAATAATTGTTGCATAAAATGACATTTTGTTATTTTGGTATATTTACAAATATTAAATTTACACAAACCCTATAGATTTCAAAATTGTAGGGTTTGTTTATAAGCACAACTGAAGACACTGAATGAAGACCAGACATTAAATGAAACAATCAACTGCCTGCCTCAACATTTACTTGGAAGGGTTCTTACGAATAAGGAAGTTTGCTCTTGATGCAGACTGGCCAAACTGTTGCTTCATGTATTTGGCTTTGAAGGTGAGCAAGCCGATGAAAGAGTTGAACTTCAAAACAATCCCACACAGCAACAGGAAGTATGCAGGAGTGCACATGAGTTTTTTCAGGGAAGGCAGGAATCCTTAACATTTACATAACAGAATACAGAGAATGAAGTGAGCTTTTTCATAAAGATTTGCATAGACGTTAGCATAACTTCATGTAAAACATGTAATCATCGTGCCTATCGTGTTGATGCAGACTGGCCAAACTGTTTCTTCATGTATTTGGCTTTGAAGGTGAGCAAGCCGATGAAAGAGTTGAACTTCAAAACAATCCCACACAGCAACAGGAAGTATGCAGGAGTGCACATGAGTTTTTTCAGGGAAGGCAGGAATCCTTAACATTTACATAACAGAATACAGAGAATGAAGTGAGCTTTTTCGTAAAGATTTGATAGATGTTAACTTAACTTCATGTAAAACATGTAATCATCTTTAAGACTTATATAAAAGCTACCTGTGTTACAAATTGGAGTGACTCCTGGTAAAGTACTGCCATTTCTAACACAAATTTGTTAGTTTTAAAGAGGATGTGAATAGAAAAAAGTTCAAACAATAATGGATTTGTTAAAAAGTGGGAAGGACGTTGCCTTTTGCAATGTCGGCCAGGTTCACTGAGTGTGTGTTTGGGAGGACAGGTTGCTCCTTGTTGTCCTGATCCACATTAGAGTTGTCCTTCCCTTCCTTTCCTTGTTTGGGTAAAGACCTGGGTAGGAACCAAAAAGGAACACCAGCAAGTACTAAGATGGCAGATGACACAAAGAAGCCCAGCCATCAAGCGTGCATCCTGTGGAGTGATGGTCACACTATCTGCAGGGG